TCACACCTTGAGTGATCTGTCCAACAAAACTATCTTTGTAATTATTAAGATGTCTGGGGTGATGTGCTGAATAAGCAGTGTTATGCTCTGTGCGTTTGCATCAATGCGTAGATGTGATAGGTGGGGCCCCATGATGATAAATTGGGTGTTTAGGGGAGTATCTAGTATCTATAGGGAAGCGGCACGGGAACCATTTAATGCAAAAGGAACTACACCCAATTAGTTGGAGCTACACCCAAAAGGTTGTAATGGAGGGATTATTGTCATTCCAAGAAGAGTTCACACACAGTGCTCCTTCTTTTATTTATAGGTATTTATTTCAAGGGTTTTTATCTCACCTTTCTCCCACAATGGGATTCAAGGCGGGTGACAGTACTCTTAAAAGGATAGAAGTAACAACATTACCGTAATTACAAAAGTTTACTAAATAATGAAATATTATTAATATCAGAACATACATTAAGGCTCTTTTTCTGCGCTGCATGCAGTTCAATGCCCTGACACACCTAAACCCCTCCAAAGAAGTTAGGTGCCCCAAACCACAGGTTGCACATCACAGCAGCTCGGCACCTTGATCCCGACTCACAAACTGAACACCTTTGAGTCACACCCTGAGGCGTCTGTATCCCACGACGCAAGCTTGGGATGTTTTCCAAAATAGCTGTTACAAATTTAGATAAAAGGAAGAGATGAAATAGCTGTTGAAAGCGTGTTTTGGTCTTTTAAGTAATGGCCTCGGTCCTATCATTTGCAATGTAGCTGTTATGTGTCAGTGGCATGGGAGACAGCAAAGGAGACAGCAAAGGGATGGACAAGGGTGGTGCTCATTAACTTCTAATTAAGTGAAGCAGAAGCCGAAGGCAGACATTTAAAAAACAAACAAACATGTTTGCTTTGTCAGAGCATGAAAATTTACCCTTTTTTTTTGGATCAAAATAACACAAATTTCAGGGGGTTGTACTGTGAAAAAGCAATGTTCTCAAGCCTTGCTTTTGGTATTGCAATTGAAATAGTCGTGCAGTCTATGTTCCACAGTGCATTTGTATATCAGTCTTCTTTATGGGCTCTTTTCTTGTGTCTCTCCCTGGTTTCCACTCCACCAAATGCATCTGAGGAAGTAGAATTAAATCTATGTAAGCTCATGCTGCCAACTTCTTTCTTTCAGTGAGTCTCAAAGGTGCTACAAGATCTCTCTGCATACTTATGCTACGCAGTTGTGGAACACTTTGATTCAGCTTTTGATGCCACGGCTGTATCCTTTCAAATCCTGGGATTTGTAGTTTTGTGAAGAGCTCTCTGGCAAAGAATTCTAAATACCAGCACCCCATAAGATGGAGCAATGGCAGTTAACGGGGAATCCACTGTTGGAATTGTGTCATTTGGAAGGGTCCTGAATTATGTTCTCCTACACTCAGTGGGATTTCCCTGCGCCTTTGTAGGTTTAGGATTTCCCTTATACTCCCATATAGGACAACACACTGCTGTTGTTAGGTGCCTGCAAGCCAACTCCAATTTACGATGGCCCCAGCATTGTAATTTCCTTCCTCTTAAGCTGAGTGTGGGCCATTCTTTTGTCTTCCATTCTTGTTGGCAGATTTTAGTTAGAACTAGAGTAGATTCTGCCTCTGGAGCTTGAAGCAGCTCTATTGCTATGCCATCTATTCCTATTAATTTATTTCTCCCCAGCGCTCTTAATTGCTGCTTCCACACCACTTTCTAAAATTGTATGTTCATCTACAAACGGTCGTTCCTTGAATGAATCTGCCATCCTTTCATCATAACATAACATATATTTGGACTTTATCACACAGGCGGGAAGTGTCCTCTTCCATGAATAAAGAGTGTTTAAACCCATCAATATCCCGCAAGAGCAGGATAATTTTCAGACGATACCCTCAGACGTCGCCATTATCCTGCAATTAACCTGTGGATAAAGTGACAAAATTGATTTTGCCAATTACTTCGTTACAAAGATCACTACTATTCGGTCGGAGGCGACTCCTTCTGACCTGTTTCCCACCACTAATCTCTTAACTCCCCCTGCTAACAAATTCTCTGCGT